TCGACCCTAAAGGCTCTTCCCAACCTCTCTCCAATCCAATTCTCCTTCCAGGTTCCTCCTAAGAGCCAGTTACTCAGGGTGCCCTCCTCCCATTGCAACGATGTGCTCCATCAAAAAACCATGAGCTCCATGAAGTCAAGACTGTGTCCAGCCTGGGGCAGGTGCCCAATCAGCACGTGTCAAACAAATGCCTTCCCCAATTGGTCCACCAGAATCGAATGGAATTCTGGGGAGGACCTGTCCCAGATCTACCTGCCTCTGATGTCTCTGGGATGCACTGCTCCCACTCCACGGGGAGTTTCATGGAAGAGGGCTGTCTGGTTCCACAGGACACCAAGGGGTGCTCAATAAACATGCCTCTTCCTCCCTCTCCACACTCGGTCTCCAGTGCTCCTGCTCTGTGACAGAAAATGAAGGCCCCGCCCTCCTTGGGATCCCACAGCACCTCCATATCCCAGGCCCCTCAACCCCAAGGGACAAACCGTGTCCCTTCACACCAAGACGTACGTGAGAGCAGGCATATCAGGCAGTTTGCCGGCCACTAGCAGATTGCAGCGGCGTTCAGCAGCCTTTTCCAAGAGGGAGGGAGAGGGAGCCTTGGGGAATCAGAGGCCGGCCAAGCCCGTGGCGTATGTGCAAAGACCTGGCTGGGCCAGACCTGGGCACTGGCCTCCAGCTGCAGAACTGACCCGTCCGAGGCCTCCTTCATGCCCCAAAAATCTCAAGCATCCCTCTGAGGCCTCCGTTCCAGCTGGTTCACAGCCCGGCCCATGGTGGGAAGGCGGTGCCGGTGCTGGGAGCAGGCGTGCCCTCTTTCAACAGGTTCCCACATAGAACCCCACTGAGGAGACAACTAAAGGTGCAAAGCTGCCAAAAAGCAGGGAAGGGGGAGGTGTCTCCCCAAGTCACACAGTCTGCTTCTTGGAGAGCCTGGCACCCGAGTCCAGAGCAAAGGAGCCCTCCTCCCTTTCTGGCCCTGCCTGTCCCCTTCACACAAGAAGGGCACTGAGGCACAGGGGACAGAGGTCAGGGCCAAACCAGAATGCGCCCAGCGGTGCCCTTAGCTCCTGCCAGGAAGTGACCCCAAAAAAGCCATTTCTCCGCCCCAGGCCTCAGTTTCCTCTTGTGTTGGCTGAGGAGACACTCTGCCTGTCTCCTCCAGAGAGGACTTGCTGTAAGGTACATCCCTCTCACTCCTTTCCCTGACACCACCCGCCACGGCACGGGGCAGGCCTTAGGATGGTTGGAATTCTGCCTGCCTGAAGGGCAGACTAGCTTGAGGCTGGGAACTGGCTCCCAGACCACTCTGAGGAGACCACAGCCCAACCCACTGCTTCCAGCCTCACCAGACTTGGCTGGGACCGCTGCATAGTCCCCACCCCCTGGGGACCCTGGAAGAGCCGCCCAGATGCCATCTGGATGCACCAGCTCAGAACTCCCTTGGGCAGGGTCCTTGGCACATGCTCACCATACCAGTCTGTGCCTGGCTCCAAATCCATGGCAGGGACTTCAGTCCCGCCCCATCTATGTCCCCAGGGCCCCATTTCCTCACATCTCACAGCATCTAGCTCGGTGCCTCAGAATTATCCATATCTGGATTTTCCTAGAACCCCCAACCCACTGAAAAGCATCTTCTCCAAAGGTCTGGGGACATCACATGGGGCCCGAGCTGCTACAGTCCTCTTGCCACCAAGGCGAGGCAGGACTTCCTAGCTGGATCCGCCCAAATGTAAACCCCAGTCCTGCTCCTCCCCAGCTGGGTGACATGGGCCAGACACTTTAGGTCTCCTGGCCCCAGCTTCCTCATCAGCTCATGGGGTGGCCTGAAGATCATGCACTGGATGTGCTCGGCAGGTGCCTGGCATACGGTAAATGAACAACCAAAGGCGGTTTAAACCCTAAGGGTTCTTTTCCCAATTAAATTACCAGCCGAGTGACCTACAGCATGTGGCTTCACCTCTCTGGCCTTGGTGCCTCTCTGCATGGCCAAGAGGATTAACGGACGTACCAAGGTCCAAACTCTGCAAATGGACCTTGGCAGCTGCCTGTGCCTCTCAGCACAGCACCTGGCACACCGCACGGTCGCTCAGAAACACGGTCGCTGTGAGGGCCATGGCTCCTAAGGAGGCGTCGGAAAGATGACGCTGGGAACAGCGCGACAAACCACCTGCTCTACCTGCTCAAAATGGGTCAGGCGCGAGCTGTGTACCCGGCTGTTGCTATGGCACCCAGCACATAGGAAAACACTCCAACCAGGAAGGCGGGTGCTGCATGGGTGGGGCCTCGGGCCTGCTTCTCTCAGACACCACCATGCGGCTGCCACCAGTCTCTGGGCTGTCTGAGGGGTCCCTGGCGTAGAGGCAAGTATGCTACTGGATTTGGGTCCAGGATCTGAGCAAGACTCATCACCCCTAACCCTACCCCAACTCCAAAACGCTGGAGCCTGTCCGTTGGAGGGGTAGGCTGTGAGATGGGGCTCTCACTCACAGACCAGCATGGGTGGAATTGGAGTGGAGGGGTTAATTAAAAAAACAAAACAAAACACCAGAAACCCCTATCTCCTGAGCAAAATCCAAAGCTCTAAAGCAGCCTGAGATCCCACCCTGATGTCTGCTCCCTCCAGCCACACATCGCAGCAGCAAACAGACACCAGGAGTCCAGCTTTGGGGGGCTCCCTGTCAGCTCTTCCCCCCTCAGCTGCACTCAGGTTTCACCCACAATGAGGCTGGGAAAGACTGTGAGGGCTGGGCCCGGTTCAGGGAATCCATGGCCCATGGCCAGGAGGGAAGAAGGGAAGGCAGAGGTGAAATGCAGCAGCTGTGGGCTGAGACCAGGAACTTTCCAGATTTTCCCGGATGAGGGGGCAGGTTTTAGAGCAATGGAAAGGCAAACAGGTAGGGTGACAGTGGCCCCAGGGCCTAGCAGGCCAGGAGAGACCTCAGCCTGGGATGAATACCAGTTCCTCAGGAGGACCCAAGACCCCCAGTTCACAGGTAGGCCTCCTGCTGACTCTAGCTGGTCCCCCTAAGACCTGGGAGGGGTGAGGGAGGGGCCCCTCTGCCATAGACACAACTGATGCAACCATTTGCTGAGCTAGACATGGCATGGACATTATCCATCCCCCCTCACACCCCAGGGGTGAGCGTGACCTCTCCCACTTCACAGAATAGGAAACTAAGGCTCAAAGGCAGGACAGATAATGGTTAAAAGCACATTATTGAGTTTGAATCTGGGCTCTGCTGTATTAATTCAAGCAAATCACTTCCTCTCTGAGCATTAGTTGCCATCGTTATAAAAGGGGGATAATAGCCCTGGCTGGTGGCTCAGTTGGTTGGAGTGTTGTCCGTACACCAAATGGTGGTAGGTTTGATTCCTGGTCAGGGCACATTAACCACCCCACCACCACCCCTCCCAGCCAGGTTCCAGGTTGGATCCCTGGTGGGGGAGCCTTCGAGTAGCAACCAATTGATATTTTTCTCTCACAACAATGTTTCTCTCTCTCTAAAATCAATCAATAAATAAAATGGGGATAATAATCTACAGTCCCACCCCCAACCCAATCTCCACCCTATTCCATGGAGTAATCCAAGAACTAAGTGAAAGGTGCTAGTAAAATGGAGAGCAGAGCACCCAGGACTGCTGGTTGCTGGAATGAGAGGTTAGGTAACTTGCCCCAATTCACCCCCCGGCCCCAGCTATGAGCACAGCCCCTTCCCTGAAGCCTGGGGCTGTGGGTGGCCCCGGGATCACCAGCAACCATATATCCACCATCCATCCCACTACCCACCCCTCAACAAAGGGCAGCTCTTGTCGGAATTCCTCAGATAAGCAGCTCCCCGTAGGCTGGATAGTCTCCAGGCCAGAGTGGGCCCACATGCACCAAAAAGGCACCCCACCCCGTCCACACCAGAGATTCCTCAATCTGGGTTAGGCCTCCCGGTTCTCCTCCCAAGAGATCATTCAACCGCCAGAGACATCCAACAGGTCTGCAAACAAGCCAAGCTCCCCTGCCGCGGACAACTGCCTACCGGCACGTCACGTCCCAGGCCAGCCACCGACTTCCTTTTCCTGGGCCTCAGTTTCTCCCTCTGTTAACGAGCACCCGGCCTCCGAACCGTGGTGCGGCTCCAGCTAACCGGGTCCACAGGAGGCCCAAGGGGCCGAGGGACAGACCAGGGAAGGGAACCAGGGTGTCCTAGGCACTGGGCCAGGCCCTGCACCGCCGTCTATCCGCTGAGCCATCCCCCACACTCAGACACCTGTACTGGCCCAGAGAGTGACACAGCGAGGACTGAAGCCCCTCTCTGTCACACCCCCAGGCACGCTCCCGTGGGCCAGGACTATGCGACCCAGCCAGCGGCAGTTGCCCTCACCTGCAGGACTGGGAAACGCAAAACCAAAGTTGGTCAAACCTCTTTCAGAGAGGGCTGCAGCCTCCTGGGCAAGGGCATTTGCAATGCAAAGCACCCGGGCTCCAGCTAGACCAGGACTGTCACTCAGAGGGGGCTGGACACGTCAAAATCCAGCCGCCGCCCCCCAGGCGGGGAGGGGGCGGTACGGGGGGAGGGGTGGGGAGGGGGGTGCTGGGAGCACCCGGGAAACTGTGGCTGCCCCGGGTCTGGATCATAGGGACAGCCCGAGTGGCCATCTGGGTGCAAGGTGGCCAGAACCAGCCTCCCCATCTCGGCCTCTCATGGCACAGACCCCTGGGCTCCGTGCAGGTCTGCAGAATGGAGGAGCTACATACAGCAGGCTGCATGGACGCCCCAAGAGAGGGCTGAAAACAGGCTCCCTGCACAGGGGGTGCGGGCACCCCGTCAGATCCCGCAGGCCCAGACCTCCTAGGTCGTTCAGCCCTACCTGCCCTGTGCAAACTTGTCCCGGACACACATAACCTTCAGGACTCTCTGGGCCCCAAGGGGCGCTCCCACACTCGCCAAGTGACTAGATGCCGCTTACCACCCCGCTCCCCTGCAGGCGAGGCTGCCCCAGCGCCTTACCTGGACGACAAGCTGACAAAATCCCCGCCATCCAGCAGCCGGACCTTGCAGAAGAGGACCCCGTTCACGAAGGGGACCGCCGTCAACTCCTCCAGGGTGAACGTGGTCTGGAATTTGAACTTCTTCTTCTTCATCAAGAAAGCCATGAGCGAGTTCCCTGAGTCTGCGGCCCCGAAGGCCAAAAAGAGGGGGCGAGCCAGAAATCCCCAGGATTCCTTTCCCTACACCACACCCCCCTCCTCGGCACACCAGGGCCGGAGCCCGCCCAGAGGGTGGCGGAGGCGGCCGGGCAGGCAGGCGGGGAGCTGAGTCCGAGGGCCCGGGTCCGGGCGGACAGTCCGGTTGGCGGGTCGGCCGGCCTCAGCCTCGGGGAGCTGGGGCTCGGCGGCGCTCGGCGGGGCCGGGGGCTGCACCGGCACGGGAGACGCGGGGCATGGCCCGAGGAGCGAGGACCGGGGCGGCGCGCGGCGGGCGGGTGGCCGCGCTGGCGGGCAGCATCCCGACCCCGCGGTCCCCGAAGAGCTCACGCCGCGCGGCTGAGCGAGGCGGGCGGACCGGTGAGACTGAGGGCGGCGGGCGGCCCGGGAGGCCGAGGGCGGCGGGCGGACCCGCCCCCGCCTCGCTGGCGGCCGGGGGAGGCGCCCGCGCTGCACACGCCCCCGCGCCGGGGTGCCCGGCGGCCGGCGCAGGTGAGTCCGAGGAGGCGGAGGGCACCCCCGGGGGCGGCCGGGAGCTCTCGGGGGGCCTCTCCGGGAGGCGCGCTGGGGGCGCTCCGCGCTGGAAACGTCCGGCCGCGCGAGACCCCTCCGGGCGCCCCTGGGCCCGGCCCCAGGCGGGGAGGGTGCCGCCTCCTCTCGGTCCTGGGTCCCGCACCGCGGGCCCCGCGGCGGAGCGGAGGCGCCCTTCCGGCCGGCCGGCGGCACCGCCTCGCCCGCCGCCTCTACACAGCGCCCTGCGAGCAGCCGCGCCGGCGCCCGCGCTCCCGACGCCGCGACCTCTCACAGCCCAGGCTGCGCGGCGCCGCGGCGGCGAGAATGCCGAGGCCCAGCTCCGCCGCCCGCGGAGCCGCGGCAGCGCGGAGAGGGCGGGGCGCCGGCGGCCCAGCTCGTCCGCGATTGGGCGGCCCGGCGGAGCGGGCGCCGGGCGTGATTGGTGGTTGGCGTCGTAGGGCGGGACTTAGGGAGGCAGAGACAGAATGGGGCTCTCGGATTGGTGCACCGCGAGGCTGGCTCCCGCCTTCTTGGTCGGGGCGGGGCGGAGTGAAAAGAGAGAGGGACCGCGGGAAGGCGGTGGGAGGTCGCAGGGCGGGAAGCCGGGGCTGGCGGAGCGAGGAGGAGGGCAGGAGCGAAGAAAAAAAGAAACAATGAAGAGAAGAAGCAATAGGAACACTATGGCTAGAATGGCCCCTCTAGTGTCCCCCGCGACCTGAGTTCGCTGATCCTTTAATTAGACCCAGACGGTAGCAAGTCCCGCTCCCCCCTCCCCCTCCCCCAAAGCACACCAGAGAGGTGGGGGGACTATCCTGTTTCCCCGAAAATAAGACAGTGTCTTATATTAATTTTTTCTCCCAAAGTTGCGCTAGGTCTTATTTTCAGGAGATGTCTTATCTTTCCATGCGCTAGGCCTTATTTTCGGAGGATGTCTTATTTTGGGGGAAACACGGTAGAGCAAGCTGGTCTTACAGCGTCTTTTCTTCAGTTCTCGCTCTGAGGAAACAAGTGTCTGCAAATGCTTCGCGGAGGGATTAGTTTGGAGCTTCTCCCATCCCAAACTGCTATCTAAAGCTTTTTATCATGGACTAGATAAGAAAGAAGCCAACTAGATTAACTGCCCTGGGTGCAGAGACGGCTTCCGGAGCCTTGAACCTCCCAGGCCTGCTACACACTGCAGTTCATTCATTCCGTCCCCAAATGCAGTGAGTCTGGTAGGCCTGCGCTCTCCATCCTCTCCAAGTTCAAGAACAGGTGAAGCTGACAGCGACAAACTGGCGGATGAGAATTGTAATGGGCTTACAGGGAACTGGGGGTGCTCAGTGGAGGCAGGGTGGTGGGGATGGGGACTCAGAAGGCTTCTGACACAAAGTAATCCAAGCCACCCATGCGCTGGCTTAGACAGGGTCCAGGCTGGGGGAGCCTCCAGAGGCCCAGCGGCCAGAGAGAACGGTGCCCACAGAAAGCTATGGGTACCCCCATCAGACTGCATTTTGGCAATGGGGGGTGGAGCAATTTGGCAAGTGATGGGGATGGCCCATCGGGCGTGGCTCAGTGGTTGAGTACGGACCTAGGAATCAGGAAATCCCAGTTGGATTCTTGGTCAGAGCGCAAGACCCGGTTGTGGGCTGGATCCCCAGTAGGGGGCATGCAGAAGGAAGCTGATCCATGATTCTCTCTCATCATTGATGTTTCTATCTCTCTCTCTCCCTTCATCTCTGAAATCAATAAAAATATAATAAAAAAGCGATGGGGCTGGAAAGTCTGTAGTGGCTGGATCTTGAGTTTTGAAGAACACAGTCAGGAAAGGAGTCATTCACACATTTTTAAAATATATATATATATATTTTTTTATTTTTTACAAAGAGGAAGGGAGAGGGAGAGAGCGTTAGAAACATCAATGAGAGAAAAACATTGATCAGCTGCCTCCTGCACACCCCCCTACTGGGGATGTGCCTGCAACCAAGGTACATGCCCTTGACCGGAATCGAACCTGGGACCCTTCAGTCCACAGGCCGACACTCTATCTACTAAGCAACGTTGGTTAGGGCCATTCACACATTTTGAGCGGGTGATTTTTTATTTTTTTTTTGTAAAGGGCATGCTCTGCTGGAGGGGGAAAGATGGGAAACAGGCGAAGGGCCTGATGTGATCCAGGCAAGAGATGATAATGGTGGCACCTCAGTGCTGGGGGGAAACCAGAGGATGAGTCAGAGCAGAATTTGAGAGACAGAATCGATTAGACTTGGAGATAAGTTAGGTAAGGACCTGTAACTGGAGAACTCAGATTTCTGATTTCTTCCTGCTTCCTAGCCAGAAAACTGGGTGTCAGCCTGTACAGGGTGGGCAAAGGAGGTTTACAGTTGTTTGTATGGACAATAGTACAATAATAAATAATAATACAAGAATAAGCTGGTTTGGCCGAAACCGGTTTGGCTCAATGGATAAAAAGGTCCCAGGTTCGATTCCGTTCAGGGGCACTTACCTTGGTTGCGGGCACATCCCCAGTGGGAGGTGTGCAAGAGACAGCTGATCGATGTTTCTAACTTTCTATCTCTCTCCCTTTCTCTCTGTAAAAAATCAATAAAATATATTTAAAAATAAATAAATAAAGTAAAGTAAACTGGTTTGCATACTCACAAGTGTAAACCTACTTTTGCCCCACCCTGTATTTCTCTCCAGTTTATCCCATAATTCAGAAAACACCAGGTAGAAGAATGATACCCTGTTTCCCCAAAAATAAGACAGTGTCTTATATTAATTTTTTCTCCCTAAGTTACGCTAGGTCTTATTTTCGGGGAAACACGGTATTAGCAGCTCCCACTTATGTGCCCCCATTTACAGCCCAGGAAGTGGAGGTCTGGAGACTTACATGGGTGTGTTCTCATTCATCCTGGCTGGGCCTACCCCACCTGGCAGGAGCCTATGGGTACCTGACCAGGGAGGGGGGTTCAGAAGAGGGAGCCAGCCAAGGATGTCCCAAGACCTGGCTGGCTCCTCCGCTGTGACCTTGAGTAACCCTTGGCCACTAACAGGAAGCAGGGTGGGGGCCTGGCTGCCAGACTTAGCTCTTTGGGTATTCATCTCTCTGCAGCCTCAGGGCTGGGAACCCAGGAAGTTTCCCTTCCTTCATTTCCCAGATGGTGCCTGGGGAAGGGAGAGAGTGTGATATCAGAATAGGATGCTTCCTCTGGGGTGAAACACGCTTGGATTAGAGTCCTAGCTCCACTGCAGTGAATACCAACCTTTCCAGAAAACAGTAAGGGCTTCAAGAGACGGTGCCCGCAAACGGCGCAGGCCTGGAGGGACGTAGGATCTGAAAGAGTGGTCATCAGGACTCCAGGCTGGCACCTCCACACTTCTCCAACCACCTGCTCCTTCCCCAATTCCCAAGAATAGCCTGTCCCACCTCCCTGAGACCCTGATCAGCATGCAAGGAGACCAGTGCCTCACAAGATAATCAGACACCTGGTCTAGAGAAGGAGCCCCAGGGAAGGGTTAGAGAGGGTGATTGGATTGAGGGTCCTGAGTTACATGGGTTGGTCAAGGAAGGCCTCGATGAGATGTTATCTCAACCCAGACTTAACTAACAAAGGTGACCCAAGCACGGGAAACGGGGGGGGGGGGGGGGGGGGGGGGGGGGGGGGGGGGGGGGGCGGGGGCAGATTCAGAGCAGCTGGCATTTTGGGGGATTCAGTGTGACTGAAGGGGAGTAGAGGAAGGAAAGAGGCGTGAGGTCTGGCAGGAGCCTGCTCACATGACCCTGTGGGCCTAGGAGTTTAGAATTTATTCTGAGCCCAAAGGGACACCATTGGAGGATGTAAGCAAGCTAGTGACAAGATCCAAAATGCCTTTTCAGAATTCCTTCTGGATGCCCTAGGAGAATGGGTTGATTGTCAGGGGCCTGAACAGAAGCAGGCGGCCAGGTAAGGGGGGTATCAGAAGCATCCCAACAGGAGACTGGTGGCTCAGACCAGGGTGGAGCCAGGGCGATGGGAAGAGAAAGGCCACACATTTCAGAGGAGCTCAGCGCATGCTGTGCATTGACAATAGTTACCCAATTAGACTTTTGAATATTCCCAGGGTTGTTTTTGTGTGTTTTTAATCCTTACCCCAGGACTTGCTTATTGATTTGAAAGAGGGGTAAGGGAGAGAGAGAGATTGAGAGAAACATTGATGTGAGAGAGGAATATCTATCAGTTGCCTTCTGCTCTGACCAGGAATTGAACCTGCATCCCAGGAACATGCACTTAACTGGGAATCAAACCCCTTGACCTTTCAGTGTGTGGGTTGATGATCTATCCACTGAGCCACACCTGCCAGGACTAGAGGGCAATTTTTAATCTATTTTAATAAAAATTATTGGGTGATTTTTATAGTATGATAAATTGTATATATAATGTAATAATATTTCATATTAGATAGATAGATATAATATAACTAGAGGCCCAGTGCACAAAATTCATGCACAGGGAGGGGGGGGCAATCCCCTCAGCCCAGCCTGCACCCTCTCCAATCTGGGACCCTTTCTGGGGATTGGGCCTAAACCAGCAGTCAGACATCCCTTTCACAATCCTGGACTGCTGTCTCCTAATCGCTCACCTGTCTGCCTGCCTAATTGCCCCTAACTGCCCCTCCTGCCAGCCTGGTTGCCTCCAACTGGCCCCCTCTGCCAGCTTAATCACCCCTAATTGCCTCCCCTGCTGGCCTGGTCTCCCCCAATTGCCCCCCCATTGGCCTGGTCACCCTTCACGGCCCCTTGTCCGTCTGGTTGCTCGACGCAGCCTGCTTGTTCAGTCATTTAGTCGTTCCTCACCCCCCTGCCTGGTCATAGGCAGCCATCTTGTGAGGGTCAATTTGCATATTATCTCTTTATTATGTAGGATTATGTAGGATAAACAAAACCCTCTGGATAAAATTCAAGTATCTTAGTCTAGCATTCAGGTCCCTCTGTGGGCAGCAGCTCAGTCCCTCCCTGCTTGCTTCCCTTGAGCCCCTGCTGCCCTGCCCAAAGGTCCTGTCCTTGCTCCCAGCCTACCTGGTAACACCTACTAAGTGTCAAGCTACAGCTCCAGCACCCTCTGCCACCCTGTTCCCTCCACATCAGCCACGATTCCTCCCTCCTCTGTGCCCCCAAGCTGCCAGCCATCTGTGTGCCGAGAGAAGGAGGGTGCCTGGCCTTCTGTTTTTTGTCACAATAGCTGGTGCCTATTTGGCACTCCTTGGAAGGAGAGGGAGGGCGGGCAGGGGGAGAGA